GGTGGCTCAGGACCGTGCTTTGTGGCATTACTTGGGGGAGGCCTATGTTCAGCAGTGGACTTGTGAAGGGCTGTAATGATGATGAATGATGAATGATCTTAAAAATGTGGTAGCAGCTGGTCCATTGTTGGTAGTGGATGATTTTCGCAAATTATTGCTGCGTTAGCTCTTCGCATATCGATACAGATCCTAATATCCCCATTGTCTTTTTAAAACAGGCACCATACGTGAAACCCATTTTGAGGGTTTAGATACTTCTTCGATAATATCGAGCTCCAATAGTTCTTGAATTTTTTTATTAACTTTTGTTTCTAGGGGTATAGGTATTCTCCTGTAAGGATGACTTACTGGCGTTATTTTCTCATTAATAGGTATCTCGACAATAACATCTTTAAATTTTGGAAATGCTGCTATATTTTTATGTGATGTGGACTCGACGGCGTTTACACTGACACCGAATCGCAGAACGCCTAGTGCTAAGGACGTTACTTTCCCCAAGATATCTTTAGTGCCATTTTTATCACATAGAAAACAGCAACCTCAATTTTGTCATTGACTTGGACATAAGTTTTAAACGATCCCAAAATTGGACAAAAAATTTAGTGGCTTAGTGCTACCATAGGCGTAAAATGTTTTATCCGGTGATCTATCCATGTCAAAAATATTTATTTTATTCCTCTTTAGTTTTCTCCACGTGACATCGGTTAACAAATTACATTTACATCCGGAATCGATCAATAATGACGTCTTGACACCACCTACCAAACAATTAATATTAGTGTCATCTATATGAAAAACATAATCGATTTCTTCCTTTTCGTCCCTCCTTGCTTTTTTTGTGATCGTAGGATCTTTTGAACTTGAAAATTGTCTTTTAGATGGCCTTCCTGTCAAACAATACTTCCGAAAGTGTCCAGTTATACCACATTTATGGCATTTAATTTTCCTTGCGGGACATTATATTACACGATTTGTTAAACATCTTTCTTCTGTTGTCAATTTTATTCACGGTACTGCTATTACATGCGGAGTTGTGAGTAAATTCATCCATCTGTCTATTCACACTTTCTAAAGTATTGGCTTCTATTATGATATCCTCCAACGTCATTTCGTCACCACCTTTTAAAATTTTTTACGAAGATCGCTAGAGTAACAATTTTCTGTAATTTGATCGATAATGCTTTCGTCCTTATTTGCAAAACCACATTTATCAGCCTGTTTTCTTAATCTAATTAAAAATTTCTCAAATTTTTCTCCAGATTCTTGTTTCATTAGCCGAAATAAGTGTCTCTTATATACTTTGCTTTGTTTTGGAGCAAAGTACTCGTCTAACTTTTCAATAGCTATAACATAAACATCCTTAGTTGGATCATCTATACTGCTAACATGGGCTCCTGGTATATTATAGTATATTTCTTGGAGACTAAGGCCACCCATGTAGCTATTTTTTTTGCGGGTAGTTCAATATTTGCAGCTTCTAGATAAATGTCCAATCCTCACTTCCACTTCTCCCATTTTGCGCCAACACCATGAGAATCCCCATCACAATCAAATGATTCTAGTGGGGGTAGTGACGACATCTTTTTTTTTAATCCGCAAGAAAGGAAATATACAAACAGATAATAACCCATATTTTGTTACCTTTTCTAATAAAACGGGAAAATTTCGAATGCACGCAGCATTACAATTAAAACAGTGACCAATATCTCTTTTAATTACGTGTGTCTATTATTAGACCGTCACGCAATTACATTCTCACGAAATCTCAGCCTTTGACAATTTAAACCATTTTCTGGTACCTAAAGCATGTCCATGACTGGACCTCGCTTTAGTAAAACTTGGACCGTCACCAATAAGTGTCCATGCTCCTGGACCGTCTCATTGGGTGTCCATTTGATTTTAACAAAGATAAATAACGACAATTCAGCCTTTAATATTTTAAACCATTTTCTGGTACCTAAAGCATGTCCATGACTGGACCTTCACTTTAGTAAAACTTGGACCGTCACCAATAAGTGTCCATGCTCGTGGACCGTCTCATTGGGTGTCCATTTGATTTTAACAAAGATACATTACGACAACTCAGCCTTTATTAATTTAAACCGTTTTCTGGGACTTAAAGCATGTCCATGACTGGACCTTTGCTTTAGTAAATCTTGGACCATCACCAATAAGTGTCCATTGCTCCTGGACCATCTCATTGGGGTGTCCATTTGATTTTAACAAAGATAAATCACGGCATAAACAATTAAACTGCTATTGCTAATTGTCTCCAACTTTAGGCTCCGCATTATAACCTATCTTTTAAAAGAGAATACATCAAATCCTTACATAAAACTTTTCCAGTTTATTTAAAAACATTTGTAATTACTTACAGTATTTTTTCCTCGTCACCAATATACAATACGTTGCTTTGTTTTGTACAATGTACACGGTATCACTTATTACACAATGTCACTACACTTCACTTTACTTTACACGGTACACACCTGACGGTTATACGTGTTAACAGAGATGTTGTCTGCTCGCCGGTTACAATCCAACTGCCCGATGTTCCTTTTTTTTTTGCGCCCGAAGCAATTAAAGGGCTACCCTATAAGTAGGGAGGCGGAAAATGCATTACGCATACCACGATAGCCGGTCTATCGTGGTTATGAGGGGCTCACTGTCCTACCGGGGACCCTAAGTGATACCCTCTAAAAACCGCCTTTGGGGACAGGCAACCGGCTGATTAAGCTGTATTGTGCCTTATCATGAGCGACCCTCTTTTGGGAAAAGAGGGCGCAGGCGGCTAAGAGCCGCTGAGGGAGACCTACGAAGGTAAATTAAAGTTGGTTAATACAATAATTTAGTTTAATTAGAGTTGGCCTGAGCCGCCAGGAGACAGTTCAGGTCGTTTGACAGTTTATTAGGCGGGTCCGAGAGAGAGTTTCTCGGCTTGCGGACACGATAGCGAGAGGGCGGTGGGGCTGCATAAGAAGTTGCCTCACGAATTAATTGATTTGGGTGCGACTCTGAGACTTTGAAGAAGTTCTCAGAGAGTTTTTTAAGGAATTGTTGGGAGCTCTAAGTCCCGATGAAGGTCGGCATTACGGACGTACCAAGGTGCGTTCGCAGCTCGACGGCAGAAGAGGTTCTGAACTATTTGGAGTTCATTTATAATGTTAGGGTTTGCGTGGGCAAAGACGGGGCCCGCGTAGGACATGACTGGTCGTATACAGACCTTGTAAAGGGTACGCTTGTTTCGAAGGGACATTTTACTGTGTCGGACCAACATACTGTTGAGCCTACTCAAATAAAACCGTGCGTGACGAGTTACTCTTTTGACGTGGGGTCTGAAAGTAAGCCCTGTGTCTAGAGTGACACCTAAATATTTGGCGGTCGTATGCCAGGGGACAGGGGTCCCTAGCATACGTATTGGTGGAGTGCCCGATGTTCCCAAAGCGGGGGGTATTTATACACTAGTAGCGATGACTCATTAGACGATTGTCGTCTATACACTACACGTAGGATACAAAAAACCGTGCGGCGCCGCACCGCAGTCTTGAAGCGACTCATCAAATCTATTGCAAATCACAGATATTTTAGCCGCATGCGGTTAAACAACCGTAATGCGCGCACCTCCACTGTGGTTAATACAACACAGATTTTTTGCGGGAGCTATCCACACTAATTGTTGCCGCAGTGCCCACAGGCCAGGGGGGGTACACTTCCATACTTTAGGTTGGGGTTCAGTAATTTGCAAAGACACTAGTGCCATCTTGTACTGTCCCCATAAACTTTCGAACATTAAATTCTAAAAGGTGCGCTAGATGGCGACTACACCAATTCTGGTTATTCCGGAAATGGCAAGTAGCAACTTTATATGACATAATGGCACCATAATGGCTACCGGCGCTGAGCAAGTTGTTGTTTTATTATAGTTTATATTATAAGAGATTTTCGGTTGTTGCTACAATAAATTTGGTTGAGTTGGGATTAGCCCTCTGTTTCTTTGTTGTCTGTTTAGATTTTCATGCTGGAATTACATTGTATGTTTGTGTAGTGTTGTGCGAAATAGACGCTTTCATTTATCATTCCGGTAACCCGGTGGACATATTTAATTTGGTTTGGTGTTGTATTTTGAGGAATAGACGCTTTTACATCGTGTATGTTAAATATATATAACAAAAATAAATGTTAATATTACTGAAATCTATAACACGTCTTTAATTGAACCCTAATTCCTTAAAATATAAATATAACCGCCTATAGTACACATAGCTGTATATACATAACTACATACAGCTATCTATAGTCAACATGATATTGAGATTTGTTCAAGGGATATGATACCAGGCAGCGACACTATTCATATTGGGTGACAAAAAATCCTAGGATAGGATGGCTCTCTATTTCTGTATATATTACTCTACTCTATGCCACAGGCCCTTACTGCCGCCGTACTAGGGAAATATATGACTTCGAAATCGTCACCATTTTATACTGTAAATATTGGCGTTTGCGAGGTAAGGTGCTCTTCAGTACTTCGATCACGTGATCAAAAACAGCTTCCACGAATGATTGTTATTATTAATCATTAATATTGTTACTCGAATAAACTCTGACATTGGATATTAAAGACAACAATGTTCAAGTAAAAATTTATCTTGTTGAAAAGAAAACATGTACATGATAAATACCTATTTTCGTTTGAAAACAGTGTAGAAAAATGGAGATATAAGACAATGGACTGCGTTCCGTTTTAAAAATAGTAACCAGTAAAGCAAACTAAAAAGGAATTTCTTCACAATCAAACCTTACAGTGGTTACCTGTGTATATCGGAACACACCTTTATGCTATCATAGAAAAAAAAATGTCAAAAGTCAAAACTCTGACGTGTTGAGTTTTACAATCCTGTTTTTGAAATAGCAAGCAAAAGCATTTATGTTATCAATTCATCGATTCGATAACCTGCGTATCTATCATTAGTCCACGTAGGCTGCTTACATTAACTCAGATTAACAGGTAATCATAATTTTCACACATTTTTCACGGACTTTATTTTAGTTAGTGTACGTGTAATATTTCGAAAGTTTGAAAATAGTACGTGTTATTAATGATAAAGTGATGGAAAAAAGATTCTCAATGTAGATTTAAATTGAACATTAACGCTATTAATCGTAAACTTGGTGTTTCTTTCAGATAGAAAAATGATAAAGTTGGTGTTTATCGCTGCGCTCGTGCAGTGCACAATTTCTCAACAATATCAACAGAAAGTTGCTCCCGGAGTACCACCGCAGAATTATCAGGTAATTAAGCAATGCGCTTTGTTACATAAATTATTATTCTTTACATATGGATAAAACACGAGGTTGTTAATATATTAGTTTATTTGTTTCTCTCATAAATTTAGAAGTAAACATATCATACAGCTTAATATTAACATGCTTCAATCAATTTGTTAGAGTTGGTTGTCTATACGAGTGTTCTCTGTATGAAAAATCACCAGCCTCTATGTACGGACAGATTTATGAATTCAACATATTATAAATAAGGTTTCATTCGGCTAAGCTTTCCATTGACGTCCGTCGAGTTGGGGGTTGATATTTTTTTTACAGAAAGGTTACATTAATATAAGCACACGTAAAGTTTCAACATGCGGAAAAGCGTATTTTTTGAGAAAAAAATTATTGAAAATCAATTATTTTTGCAATATTTATGTCAATCCCTATCTCAGATTATATATTTTTTTTACAGAAAGGCTACACTATTGTAAACACACACGCAAAATTTCAACATGCGGAAACGCATACTTTTTGATAAAAAAAATTGTTGAAAATCAATTATTTTTATAACATTTACGTCAATCCTTACCACAGATTACATCGAATTCTCGCCATTGTACGTTCGTTTTCCGTACGGTTAAGTTGTCATACGTTCGGTAGCATTTTATTGTAAATCTTACGTAAATAATTATATTTTGTACTCATTTAAATAGTTTTCATGCATACACATATATTTTACAGTTTATATTTAAATTACAGAATTATTATCATTATGAGCTATTAAAATTAAAAAGTGTAGTGTTTACCGTTTTTTGCCGACTTGTGGGACGTAACGTAAAACTGACGATTTCTAAGAATTAATTAAAGCAATATGTGTACAAAATTGTATAAAACAGTAAAATAGGTTAGGTTCAACTTATGTCAAGGAACCGAATCAATAGACCCCGACTCCACGTGGTACGAGTCTGTCCTACCCTTAGAGTGTTTTTATAGAGCCGGAGGCGCGTAGGGAGAGCAGCCTCCGCCTGCTGTAACAAATACGGAGGCGAGGCTGGATGCCTGCAATTTGTTACGCACAGGCGTACAGGCTTCTCTTCCCGCAGCGTCGGAGACGTTGCAGTCTCAAAATAGATACAGAAATCCCTCTGAATGGGTCCCTCTATTTATTTTTGGTGAAGGGGTTTCCCCCTTCCTTAGGGGGTAGCCCCTTCCCCCCCAAGAGGTCCCCATGGTTTTTTACACTTAATATTTATACATAAAAAATAAAATTTCCTCAGAATTAAAATTGAAAAAACTCAAAAAGGGGGGGGCTCCGCAACTTTTCCTTTTAAGGGGGAGTAGTACACCGCCCCTCGCCCTCCCCCCACCCCCCCTCCCACCTCCAATTCGACGGACGTCAATGGAAAGTCGTACCTTTCATTCAGCTTTAATTCATGATTTGGTCCTTATTTTTTCTCTAAATAGAGTAGAATAAATAGTTGCTGTTAAGGTACCCTACCTAGTAATTTAAAAACTTAAACAGTTTTTTGTTATGTTTAATGTTAGAGGTTATTCAATTTTATTGCAATTACAAAAGAGTTAGGTAGGTAGGTAGGGGTGGGGCAGTAAATTACCAGCTAGAGACCACCCTACCCACTGCTGGAAGATTTATAGTTCTAAAGTTACGAATTTCATAATATCATAACCTCACTTTTTTGTTCCTTAATTTTATTATGTATATATTGTGTGACACTTTCATAGAGAGTGGAGTGGGAAAGAGATTATTCCGTGAATTTTTCTTTTATGTGTGAGGAGGCAAACAAGCATGCGACTCACCTGACGGTAAGTGATCACCTTTTGATTGAACATTGCAACATCATGGAAATTGCAGGTGCGTGCCTTTTAGAAAGGAGTAGTAGTTGTTAAATTTACGGCTAACCCAAAGAAAATCTATGACGGCTTTAAAATGTATATCTAACTAATGGAGCTACATACAATACTTTCAATTATCAATAATTAATAATCATGATTTTCCGTTTTCTTCTAGAATTACCAACCACCACCACCACCACCGCAACCTGGGCAACCTCCTGTAAGTTTGATTTGCATTCTTCTTTATTATCCTGTTGAAGTTCACTGCTCGGCACAGTCTTTCCCTTTGTAAGGAGGATTTTTTTATAGGATAGAACGACAAACAAGCACAGTCCACCTGATGGTAAGTGGTTGCTGTGACTCGTAGACATCTACATCTATCCTCGATTATGAATCAAGATGAAGATGTTTTGTCACCTGTGAGGACCGAGATGGAATGCCTCATTTCCAGTCTCTGGGTTTCTGGTTCTCTACACTCACCATACGAAACACAGCAGCATTAAGCTACTATTTTACGCTGGCATTCTGTGAGAGCATGGTTCTTCCCCGGTCGAGCCGACCCATATGTGCTACAACTATACTACTAACTGCAGCATGGCTCTACCAGGTATAAAACTTTTACGATAATTTTTATGCTTGGCACACTGATTCATAATCTAAGTAGTAGACTTATAACACTGTGTACCATATAGTGGCGGTGTAAGAATATCCCCTATGCCTATCATTCTGTAAGTTTTGTAAGACGGGACAGAGAAACTTAAACAGAAGAAGCGGTAGCATCTTCCTAATAACAAATCGAAATAATAAAAAACCAAGTGCCAACTCATCTGCCAATCGTGGCAACTATGGCAAAATCCCCTCTATGAGGCAATCTATGGGGAAGGCTTGTGTTAAGCAATTGTTTATAGGCTGTAATGTCCCATTTACACTCAGCCACTGCTACTGCTCCTGTGGTGCCGAAAATATTTCCCTAAATACTTCAGCGACAATAACGACGCCAGTGCATATTCACACTCGGCCTTCATACTTCTTTATTGATCAACTCTCAACAATGACTGACGTCGAATTTGTTGGTGTGACAGCATTATGTCTGTTTAGTATAATATAATATGTTCAGTATAATATAAGCTAATACATGCAATTTATGGTTTTTATCATGAGGATCCATTACCCGCTGCATTTCATACAATTATAAAAATTTTATTGTTTTATCATTACTAAATATCATTAAAACACTGGACAGATAAATAAACGAATTGACGTTTTTTTGGTCTGACATTATATATGTACTGGATGACCTTTTTTATTGTCTGGAAAGAAATAGGGTGTAATATGTGAACGGAGTAGAAGCCTTTGTTTTGGCACTAAGATTTTGCAGAAAATAAAAACAAAAGTTTTGAAATAAATAAATTAAAATCTATCGAAATTCAAATCCTATCCACCCTACTTTATGAACGGCAATGAAACAATAAATTTAGTAGGCATCTTTGACCTTGTCACTTCACAGGGTTAGGCTAGCTGGTTACGATTTGAATTGAATTTGATTTGATAGATTTTAATTAATTTATTTGATTCAAAATTCAAAAAATAAAAACAAAAATTTTAAATCAAATAAGATTCAAAATTTTTGTTTTTATTTTTTGTAATATATCAGTGCTATAACCTTCTACTTCGTTCATGTTGCACCCTTTTTTTTTCAGATGGTAAAAAAGGTTATGCAGTACATTTATATAGATTTATATATATCGGAACTTGTGTTCTTATTCAATTCAAAATTATTTACAATAAAAAGTTATCAATATTCAGTTACTTTTTAGCTTAAATTGTAATTTGTCGTAGCTTCTTAAATGGATCCATCATCACAATTCATCCTGTGAGTACTACACCCATAGGATGAGTTGGGAAAAATCTAGTTTTTGAACTTCCAGATATCTTATGGTTTCCAATAAGTTAATAACTATTTACTAGGGGTAGCTTATATTACCTGCTACCTATAATTCAAGTAAATATGTTTTCTCTAGTAGATAGTGTGAAAACCTGGTAAGATATGCAAGAAGTCGATGAATGCAGGTAGCTCAGGACTGTGCTTTGTTGTATTCTTTGGAGGGTCCTATGTTCAGCAATGAACTTGTGAAGGGATGTACTGATGGTGGTGATGATGTTTTCTCTTCTCTTCCAGCAGCAACAACAGTACCAACAACCACAGCAATACCAACAACAACAACAACAATATCAACAGCCGCAGCAGCCACAGCAGCAACATTACCAACAACAAGTGCCAGTTCAGCAGATTCCGGTGCAAAACCCTCCGCAGGGTCAAGCTGCCCATGGCGGTGAGTTGTATTTGCCTTATTACAGACTCATAACGGCGGGTATTTAGAAGGTAGACATGTATCAATTATTCATTTCTCGTGACCGAATCATTCTAGTACATATCGTCATGCGTGTCAGTACATTCGGATTGATCATTCAAATGGATCATTTCGAGCTCCATTACCCTACACTAAAAACAATTCATTCAGATCATTCTGTATTCGGTCGGTTTTCGACTCATTCACAATTCACACCAATCACGAGTTAAAAAGGTTCCGATAATTGTTTGTGATTGGTTGTACCGGAACAATCAAAAACAGATGAATGAACCATCAATACTTTTAAATACGAATGAATCATTCATGATTGACACATGTCTATTAGAAGGTTTTTAGGAGTCAGTCTGAATTCCACCCTCTTGCATATTTATGCTGTCAAATAGCAACACTTGTCTTTCAGTCTAAAGAGTATAGAGAGCCAGTAAAATTACAGGCTGTGAGGAATTTTAAGTTCTCAGAGGTGACAACGCATCTGCTGTAGCTTTCATTGGAGTTGGCTGCAGATGTCCATGGGCTGCTATAGCCACTTACCATCAGGTGCACTGTAAGTTCGTTTGTCACTTTTTTATATCAATGTATGACAAACGAGCACACAGTCCACCTGATGGTAAGTGGATGCTGTGGCCCATAGACATCCATATCTATCCTCAACTAAGGATCAAAATGCAAATGCGTTGTCACCCCTGAGGACTAAGATGGAATGCCTCGACTCCAGTAAAAATAGTCTCAGGTTCTCTACACTCACCATTTTTTTATAGAATAAGGGTGACAAACCAGCACACAGTCCACCTGATGGTAATTGGGTGATGCGGCCCAAAGATATCTACATTTATCTTGATCAAATCATAACGCAGATGCGTTGTCACCCCTGAGGATTAAGATGGAATGCCTCAATTCCAGTAAAAATAGTCTCCGGTTCTCTACACTCACCATTCAAAATACCAGTGTAAAAAAGCAGCATTATGCTGCTATTTTATGCTGGTATTCTGTGAGAGCGTGGTCCTTCCCCGGTCAAGCCGACCCATTCATGTTACAACTATAATATAGCTGCAGCGTGGCTCTACCACGTAAGAACTTGAGTTTAATAAAAAAATACTGAGATACTTCCACCTTAATGTATGTACACACTAGTGCACACACCTAAAATAACACTAAATAGTTTGTTGTCTAAAACCACAATAATTTCTACTAGTCTGTAGTCTGTCTTATTTGGTAAAGGTATTTTGCAGCTATATTATGGTTGCCGCAGGAATGGGTAGACTCGACCGGGGAAGAACCAAACTCTCACAAAATACAAGCTTAAAATAACAGCTTAATACTGACGTGTTTCGTATGATAAGTGTAGAGATCCGGAGACCCTTTTTACTGGAAACGAGGCATTCCATCACAGTCCTTAGGGGTGACAACGTATCTGTATTTTGATTCTTAATTCTATAAAGAAGTTTGGCATTATAGAATCTATACAAAATTCTCTATTCTAAAGTTTAAACAAAAGTCAGTTACTCTATGGGTTTTTATTTTTAAGCTACCGTAAAATTTCGCCATTTTCGTATGGTCGGCAAATGTAAATTGACAGTAGAATAAAAATAAAATATATAGAGTAACTGATTTTTGTGTGAATATAATTTATTTTCTTACGTAAATAATTTCGAGTAATATATGGAAATAATTGTGATTTTCACGCTGCCGACATCCGCTTGGTATTTTTTTTTTTGTTATCAAAATACAATAAAATCTTTTTGTAATGAAGTAACCACAGTATAGAGAATTTCGTATAGATTCTATAATGCTAAACTTCTTTAGAGAAAAGTAATCTATAAATATAAGTTTTAATGGTTTACAATGCTGTGGGTGGATGCGGTCGCATGCGACCCCTCGGGATTTAACGGACGCAAGAGACTGCATGGGAATTTTTAAAGGATTGTGGGGCGAAAACGAATTTTTACCTTATATTTAGTAGCGTCACTTAATGGGGTGTAGCTAAAATGTTTTCCTAATAAATATTCAGCGTGGTATTTCTATGTTTCACTAGAGAGTGTGACACGTGACACGTGACACATGCGCGAGCTCACAGTTTTTATATGCAAATTTTCCTAATGTCCGCTCTATAGTATATATATTTAAATCTCTTTGATGTCATGATACTTTGAGAATATAAAATATATTAATTGAGCTTAAATTGAACTTTTGATCCTGGTCTAATAAAAAAATTGTATACGCACTACAGGAGAAAAGTATGTAATCACAACCCGCGTTCTTATCACGCAGACTATACCACGCTGGTTGCAAAGACAGACTTTCCTCACTAGTGGCGTAATAAACTATAACTAACTTGTGTAATAAAAGTGAAAGCCGCCTTTAAAGAACTTAAAATAATTTCTATATTACAGCTTCTTAAGTATTGGCTTTATTACTTCTACACTATTGCACAATTACTTAAACACTGCTTAACTGTAAGATGCCTTTAAGTCTCGTGCTGTCTCTATCACTTTATGAGACTTAATGACATCTTCAAATTGAGTATGTTTGAGTATGCCATAATTCTAAGCACCATTTTACTTGGTAGAGCTACGCTGCAGCTATATTACAGTTGTGGCACGAATGGGTCGGCCCGACCGGGGAAGAACCACGCTCTCACAGAATACCAGCATTAAATAGCATCGTAATGCTGGATACCCTTTTCACTGGAATCGAGGCATTCTATCTTAGTCCTCAGGGGTGACAACGCATTTGCATTTTGATTCTTAATTGAGGATAGATGTGGATGTCTATGGGCCTTTATTATTATTTACAACTGACTTGAGGTTATATTTTTGCAGATCCTCAACTCCTGAATCCAGCCAACATAGCCCAAGAAAGAGAGTGAGTATTCTTCGACTTTCTTGTAGTAGGATTATCTTCCTATATATGACCTAAAAGTAACTTAAAAAAAATATTAAAATGTATATCATACACTTGACATGTTAGGAAGACTTTACAATAAATAAGCTTTCATTTTTTTAATTTCCCATTTGTTTAAGTAAGTACCGTTAGCATTACAGCCTATGATAAGTCCACTACTGCACATATACATTTATATGTGGTAGAGCCACGCTGCAGCTATATTATGGTTGCGGCATGAATGGGTCGGCTCGACCGGGGAAGTACCACGCCCTCACATATTACCAGCGTAAAATAGCAACTTAATACTGTTGTGTTTCGTATGGTGAGTGTAGAGATCCCGAGACCCTTTTTTTACTGGAAACGAGACATTCCATCTTAGTCCTCAGGGGTGACAACGCATCTGCATTTTGATTCTTAGTCAAGGATGAATGTAGATGTCTATGGACCACAGCATTATATATATAAAATAGGCCTACCCCATAAAGATTACATTATAGACCTTTTTATACAATAAAATCCCACTTATTGGATAAAGGATTTGTAACAAGGTCTTCCACCTTAGTCCTAGGAGTCACAACGCATCTGCATCTTTTTCTTAATCGAGAATAAAATAAATGTAGATGTCTATGGACCACAGCATCTACTTACCATCAGATGTGATGTGAGCTTGTTTATCACCCATATTATATATATATATATATATAAAACGTAGAACAGTTCTAGTGCACTTGGGTTTTGAGTTTAATTTGCAAAAATGGAACAGTTATTATGTACTGCGTCCAGTCGAATTTTTCAAATAATACTGAAGCGAACAATGAAGTTATTTATTATTTAATTTAATTTAATTTGTGATTTCACATGTATGACAAAAAAAACGGCACTTTACATCCCTTTCATTTTTGCCCGATAAATAAAAATTATTAGTAAGGTTATACATCTCCACGTCTCATATTCCTTCAAACTTAAAAACAAGATTGTACAACTAGTGCGGGTCTTATTATAGAAGAGGGGGCAAACATGAATGGGGATCACCTGATGATAAATGACTACCGCTGCCCATTGACAACTGCAACACCAGGGGAATTGCAGGTGCGTTGCCGGCCTTTTAGATAGGAGTAAGCTCTTTTCTTGAAGGTCCCTAAGTCGTATCGGGCCGGAAAGATTGCCGGTGGTAAACGATTCCACAGAGGAGGGGTTGTACGAGAAAGAAAACTCCTAGCAAAACGGAGAATGCTGGAACACCAAGCATCCAAATGGTGTGGATGGTACCTACGATGACTATATATGATGGTGAGTTTTGACGCGTCGTACGTTTGTGAAATGTGGCGGCTAGAATTAATCCGAACAATTCCTCAGAGCACTCTCCGTAGGTAGATGCGATAAAAGATTCAAAAGGATGCAACATCTTTTCGCAAGTCAGTGGGTCGAGCCGATTGCCAGTGATGAAGCGTGTTGCCAGTGATGACATAATATGGATCTGAGTTATGGTAAATCACTGTTGGTCGTATGAGGAAGTTGTAGTTCGCTCAGCGAGCTATTGAAGATGCTACGATGTTTATCTGCGAGATAGACTTCTTAATGAGGATATCCAAAGTAGAACCAGACTAACCGATATAATGCAACGGATCTGTAAGTTTATGTGGTAATAGGGCGGCCATATGACTCCAAGAACAGACAACCAATGGGAAAGAATGGTTTTTGAGTGACAGCCTCATACCGTTACATGCAGTGTTGAGCGGTTCCCCTCTAGATGGAGTGACTAACCAGTAAGACAGTTTTAGGATGCAGATTGGTCAGACCGTGTATGTTTTATTTTTTTGGGGGAGGCTTATGTGTAGCAGTGGATGATGAGGGGCTGTAATGATGCTGATAATGATGATAATGGGGTTAGCAGCCCAGAAGTGCTTATATTCTAGTATTTTGCTATATTACTAAACTTATTAATTTTACAGCCATATCAAGGAGCACATGGATGTACCAATTGACACGTCCAAGATGTCGGAGCAAGAGCTTCAGTTCCATTACTTCAAGATGCATGACGCTGACAACAATGATAAGCTTGATGGCTGCGAGCTGATCAAATCACTTATACACTGGCACGGTGAGTACTTCACACTTTAGCACACTGCAAACATTACGTATTTGCAATTACTTTACATACTTATAAACACTTTATACACTTGCAACACTTCAAACTCTTGCAAACACTTTGCACACTTGCAAACACTTAACATTCTTGCAAACACTCCACACACTTGCAAACACCTTAATTTTTATTGTACACTTTTGATTGGGTAGTTGACATCATTATTAATAAATGAATACATTGTGCAAATTGAATTTGTGTCACAAATCTTGATAGATTTTTGTTTTAAGTAAAATTTTTAGTTTTAGTTTATTTGGTTACAAGAACTGCCACTTTTATTTTGATAGATCGTGAAAAGTTTTTCAGTTATGTCTGCTACCCCATTGTGTATAATAACTAGAAGGGTAAATGATAGAATTATTATTGATACATTTTAGAATTGATGAAAATTACTATTACTATCAAATTATAAAAGGATTTAATTCCTTATTAAATTATTTTTTTTTTTTGATTTTACTGTACATAATTTCAAATGATAAATTACACTTCCATATAGAACACGTTATGACTTCTTTTAATATTTTTTTAAATTATAATATGCCAGTTTCGGAAATATTTTATGGCTTGTGTTATAGGGGTATATATAATTGATTTTTTGTTTTATCATTTTGCGTATTCTGGGATTATAGATGTTACGTTTTTTTACATTGGAAAAAGAAAGCATTTGTCGCTTTTCTGGGTTGAAATAAAATTCATTATTTTTTGGGAACATGTAAAGATCTGGGTTGCCATACATTTGGGTTCTAAGGAAGTACTTTGTGAAAATTTGAAGATATTTTGTAAAACGTTTTGAGTTTTTTATATTTTGTTATCAGTGGCACTAAGCGGTGTACAGTAATCTGTAAGAATTGATATGAACTTGAGTCTCTTTGATTCAACAACTCTATTAAAGTTCTAAACTAAAAATAAATTCATTAAATACTGCATGGCCAGTAAATATTATGCCCTTAAATCAAATCACAAAGTATTTCTATACTATTTTTTCATCGTTTTATTTGTGTTTTGCATAGATAATAAATAATTATTAAACGCATTCTACTATTTTGATAATAAATAACAGTTTAAACAAACATTACTTTGTTACAATATTGTTAAATATAACAAATTGAGTGAATGTAATAATTTATTATCTATGTCGTTTTGGAACAATGTGTGTAAAACTCATTTGTGTTTGTCTCCTTTTTATGTGTTGCCATTGCCGACATCAATTGGATCGGGACGCCATCTTGCTTTTATTTCAGAAGAGCAAGGTCACAAACAGCAACCTCAACCAGGATCTCCTCCGGTAGGAGAGAAAATCTTTACTGATGAGGAGTTAACAAATTTAATAGACCCCATATTAAATATGGACGATCATAACAGGGATGGTTACATAGATTATCCGGAATTCGTTAGGGCGCAACAGAAAACTCAAAGACAAGACGGAAATCAATAGTATTAACAGAAAAAAATAATATAAATACAAACATTCCTAAGCATTGTTGAGATTTTCGGGTATTTTTGATAAAATTTACTAAATGGTAGTATTTTTTTCACACAGCAACACTGTCAAATTTTCGAATAAACCTACAAGTGTCACCAAAATCTCCTGTATATATATTTCTGACGTTTGTATGGCAATATTGCTAGAACACATACTATTTCTACTACTTGTCATTTGAAGAATGGTGTTGTGTGTTTTTGGTTATTTTGGTTGTAAATTTCGTTGTAAAACGGCCTCAATTTCGTGCTTCCAGTATATAAGTAAACCTGCGTACAGATTCTTAGAACATAAATGTAGCTTAAATGTAAACAAACTTTTCGGATTTTGTGTAAATCTTGACCGATAATGGAACGAGGAACCACTTGAACTGAAATTAAAAAAAAAACAGTACCCCCCAAACAAAAGAGCTGATGATATTTAAACGGTTGATAAAGTTTTATGAATCATAGATAAGGTCACTTTCGATTAAGTCTTTTAAACAAAAAAAAAACTAATTCTAAATCGGGTCATCCGTTTTGGAGCTACGATGCCACATATAGACACACAGATATACACGTTAAACGTATAACACCCCTCTTTTTCGTCAGTATAATAAAAAAATCTACGCATAATCGTTTCCGCTCGGTACTGAAACCCGTAGACGTTGATAGTGTGCTACACCACACATATCGTCAAAAAATAAATTAATTTTTGTTTTCAAGTTGAAAATGATATACTATGTCTATGTCAACCAATACTTTGATTGCTAAAACTTAAGAAAGACGTAGTGCCTCACTAGTTTGCTTGTTAAAAGCAGAAAAATGAAAACATGTGCAGTCAGTTGTAGCAAAAAAGTAAAAAAGCAGAAATTTCTAAGAAAATTCTGAGTGAAGATGTAAGTGGTGATATTGCGTCTACTTTACACAAGCTTTTCGACTAATACTAATTTTCTAATTCAACTTCCATGTTAAATTTAGCAACTTATAACAACTCTTACAAAAATTTCTACCTTAGATAGAAAAAAATAGCGGAAAACAAGCAACAATGAACCACAAAATTTTTTATATAATTTTTTAAACCGAATAGTGCCACAAAAATTACTTTTAATTTATCGTTTTATATTTTTGCGCAAAAACACTAACCGCCATGCTGTTAAGCTCGTGACGTCACTGTCCTAGGATTTTGCCGTTATTGCAAATGAAAAAGATATTTTTGGAAGTTTAATAATGAGTTATCATCTTATCACTGGAGTGTTGTGCCTGAATGCAAAAATACAAGCATAAGAACGCCGGGAAAGTTATGGATTCAAGTGTCAACTGATTTAAATATGAGAAATACTTGGTTAAAACTGGCAAGAAGAGACCCGAAGGCATTGTCTACAAAAACTAGACTATACTTCGAAGTATGACTTATATTTAACTGTTCGACTTTTGCATACGTAGGTCTGAGCGTCTGAAATCTCGGCAATTTTAAAAACCGCTCCGAACTTCTCGTAGTAATAACTTCGGTGTTACTGCATGTATTGTCGTGAAACAAAAACTAGTGTGATGTACCTAAAGTTAGCTTTTATAATATATTTGAATACGAAATTTTTACCTACTTTTGAGAATCATTATAGTTAATAGAATAATACTGATATTTTGAGAAACAATAAACAGTTCTAATACTTTTTTTTACTATGTTCTCAGGATCTGTATGCTACGTCTCGAATATCATTTAGACTTATAAACTGTCTTCTAAGAAATATTTTGTATAGATTGTATATTATTTTTTAATCCAATCCCGATTTTGCTAATACAAGTTTATTTAATTTTCTGTCATTAAAAATGGTACGCAAAGAATAACGACATTTGCGGTATAATGTTGCCACTTTCTTAATGTTATTTCTACTAATTATTTAATAAGTTATAAAATAAAATTTCTTTTAAGATATTTTTAACACTGTTATGTAAAATATTTGCATGTTAATATGTTATAAGTCTCTCAAAATAGCTCTGACAATTATAGCGAAGAGCAGATATTAAGTGAAAAGACATACCTTGTTTAAGTTTTAAATACTCGCGTATACATTACCAATACTTTGAACACCATAAAATACTCTCCATCTATCCATTAATTACGGCCTATTAAAGTCCGTTCCTAAACATTGGCCTCCCTCCTAGATTGCCTGATAGGAGTGGGGGAGGGGGGGAGGGGGGGCTTGGCAAGCGGGTTGGCTACCGCAGCTTTGAGTTGTTATCAGGCAAATGCTGCCCATCTCCTGTTTAATTTTCCCTCTGTTGCCTCCTACGACACTCTCGGTACGATATGGGGTAGTGGATATTATTACATCGCCTCTACACGGTTAAAAAAATACTGTAATTTAATATAGCGATCAATTTAATACCACCGTTGGTATAATATGAAAGTTAGTTTGAAGCGTACACCACTAGTTATTTAATTGTTGGGATTTTTAGAAATTGTCACCACTTACTGAAAAGAACCTAAGGCCTTTCGAAAACGTTGTGCCGGTCTATTCTCTACAGAATCGAGTTCTGAGTATATCGAATTTTATAAGAACTCAAAGTAATTTCGTATTCCTGAAACGATAGCAAGCGTGCTAGCAAAATGGTGGTTCCAATTTGAATTATCTTAACGGATACCACGTATTTCCAGCTGTCCGCCGCTAGATGGTGCTCGTCGCAAGCGATGAGAATACTTCTTTTTGATAAATTTGTCCTATTTCTGTAATCAAAATATTAAAGAATGAATTTTTAATTAATTAAAAATGATCTCCAGATAAAAATATCCGGTTGTGTTTAACGGCGCTGGTTGTGTTTAATTACTCCCGAAATTGTTTTCGAATTCGATTCAGTTTTCGATTAAAAATGACGATGTTTCGAATCTGCCTCCCTACTCCCAACAGAACCGTTTTCTGGAACAATATATTTTTATTTGACTTGTAGACATTTCGTACTCTTTGTCGTCCTTCAATGTCATATTATTTATATTCTACTAGTAGTTAATGAGAATTATTGCGTAACATAATAAGTTGATAATATTAATGTTTATTTTGAATGAGTTTTATAGAATCTCTAACAAGTACCGGGATTGGATTGTCTTTATTATAGTTTATTTACTCTTTGATCTTGTTCCTCCACTATCTATTGTGATAAATATTTATTTTCATTTAAAAATATATTTTGTATGATAAAACACATCTGATGTGCCTGCGCTGTAAAAAGTAATTATGGAAAGTGAATAATAAAACGAAATTTGATTGTTTTAATGGATTTTAATTCACTAACTTCCTCTAATAAAACTGTCTTTACTATGAACATTTTCTGTTTCTTTAAAATTAGTTTTAATTTTTAACGAAAGCTTAGAAAGGTCGCTATGATTGAAACCGGGCATTAGTTAGTAAACTATTTAGTAATACTTGTGGCATTAGTGTAATTTGCTGTATTTACTTACTACAATCAAATTAGATAATCATCACAGTGAGCTATTATGGTTTGATCAAAAACCTCATTTTACATTACATAAACTTACGACATATTATATATATATACTGGCTTGCCAGGCAGACGTTATTCTGCCCTTTTCGATGACTCTTTGTCATGTCCTATTAAAATCCTGAAATTCGCAATAAATAAATTATGAGTCAATCATGGGATATCTAAATATATAGATAAAAACTATCTTATCTCTCAAGTTGGACCAAACTGCACACGGCGTGCAAATTTGATTAAAATCGGTTAAGTAGCTTAGGAGTCCATCGCGGACAAACAACGTGATACTTAATTTATATATTTTAAGATCTATACATACATACATACATATATATATATATATATATATATATATATATATATATATATATATACAAAGTTACATTTGCAGTGAATGAATCAGTGTAAACTTTTATGTTTTAAATATATAGATTGACTTGGCCATCGCACTAAACAATCTAATTTAATAGAATATCTATTACTTGCACAGATTATTGTGTGATACATTGTGTTTTCATGCGATGGCGAAGTCAATTTATATATTTAAAACATAAATATATATATATATCTATATATATATATATATATATATATATATATAATATAGGTGGCAGAAATACATTAGAAAGTGACCTCCTCAGCAGAAATTGAGTACTACCACGTATTGAGCTTTATAGTCCGCCAACGGCCCCTGGAGCAGAGAGGCGGCGAATTGATCTATAACGATTTTATAAAGAAGATGGCTGTTCTCAGCAGGGGGACGCATAATAGGCTGTATCTTTATTTACCTACTGTTAAAAGCACGGACTTGAAAAAAAAGAAGGACTACGGGCCACGCGTATTGCAAGTGAAGTATTCTATGTATGCTACACGCCGCACGATGATATCACGCACACATTTATGTCATAGTGTGCCAACCGTCCGCCATTACGGCACGACTGCATATTTGTAGGACAGAATTTATAATAGTACTACGTATTTGTAGGCACTGTTTACGTGAAGTAATAAAAATAAAATAATGCCATCTTGTGTTATGAAATGGTGTAAAATAATTCTAAATCCCAAAAAAAGTAAGACATCTATTTAACTGGTTAATATATTACGCAGACATAGATCGGTACGGTGCTTCACTCGCGATATGCGTGACGGAGAGTTTTTTTCTTTAGTTCGTGGTTAAATATATGTTAAATATATGATTAAAATTTAACGTCATTGTCGACATAGATTATATAAAAATTTGCAGAAGATAGCGGCATTATCGGACATAGGAGTCTTGATGTGGATGAGGCTACTGTAACGGTCGACATTATTTTAAAAAAAGATGGACGCTAATGATGACGGTTGTGTTGATTGGCCTGAACTAAGGGCACACAATGGGATAGTTTCATAAATATAATTTCTTTAAGTATATATTTTTGTCATGGTAATTTAAATAAATCGAATGTAGAAAATTAAAAAAACGAAACGTGTTTAATTTGGGGC